CTGCCACTCAAACATAATTATTACCAATCAGTTTTATTCTCCAACGGAGTAACGTCATAAGACTGATCATTGATGCGTGCATGCGTTTACGCAAGAATCTTTTAGTCCTAAGGATACACCAATTGTACCGTGAAATTAAACCCATTACTGTTCCCAAGTAATTCTCCGAATAAGAAACTTTGCAACGCATGTCTTTTTAAGTTTAGCTGTACGTTGCTCCGGTGCCGTTTCGAGGTGGCTGGAAGAATACTTTTTCTTAGTACGTTAATGCACTATAGCGTGGATGGAATTGAATGTGATAGTATACAAGTCCGTAGGTAGGTGGACGGAGGGAGAAAGAGTTAGAGAAAATCAATTTATTTAATGAACTGGGATTGCATTAAATATAATTTAAGAGAAAAAGGGTAATGGTACATTACGAGAGAGACAGACGGACATAGACTCGATGCAATGGAAACGATTTGGCGAAAAGATTCGCGCATTCTTTTGTTCTTGCTACAATAAATCATTTTTTATTTCTTACATTTATTTTACTGTTTCGTGCTAACTGCTCAATCGACTTATTATTATTCTAGGGTTGATCACGAGTTTCGTGACTATGATCACATTCAAGGCAATACGTTTGCTATGTTTGCTCAGCAATGATACGAGTCACGTTAGCTGCTTCGTTAAATAAAATGTTTTTGAAATAAAAAAAAAAAATTTCAAATTTGATACTCTATTCGTATCTGCAGTTTATTTTATTTCGTGTTTGGTGAGAAGCGTGAGATTTGTATAATGAGATTTTTTTATTCGTTTTGTCAGGACTATCCAAGACCCAGCCTCTCAGAGGTTGACGTGGTACAAGCCACCGCTCTCGGTCCTCGTCATTAAGAAGATCCGCGACTCGTCGGTTCTGCCGCCGTTTGTTCAGCTGGTCACGTGGCTGATAGAGGTAATAAGTGAATTTCAATTGAACAGTAAAGGAAGAAATCACGGTGGATGAGGTTGCGTTGGCCTTGAATCTCGGAATCATTCGTATTTACCTAATCATTTAATATCATGATTTTGCATTTGTTTCAATAACACCATTTGTCTCTTACGCAACGGCCCGAAATGTTCTTGCAATCAACATCTGTTGTCGAGAGCCATTTGGCGTAACCACTGCAAGATCTGGCAAATCATCATGGGAAATCTTTTGTGACTGTACGAAGATACAGGACAATTCAGGACTAGCGAACCTAACTGTAGTTGGTCCATTCGTGTGATCTTTATCACAGAACCGAGTTCGGGTTACCTGTTGTTCTTGAAGGACCCTGTACGCGTGTACAGTCAGTCACAAAAGTTTTCGTACCAGATCCATTTGACGGACGGCCCTAATATTTCAGGAATTCCCTGAACTGTTTATAGTACAGCAAATTGTAACGTGTCTACACAGTCTCGCATCAGCGTTTGCCGCAAGAAGTTGGGATATCGCGCCACCAAAAGTAAAAGGGTTTATAGACGTAGGATTTTTTAGCGGACATACGCCCTTATGCTTTCTCTTTATGCTCTTAATGCGTTGGAGTTGGATATAAAACTTTTATCGATGGCACTGATGAACAAGGAACTGTATTTGATTATTACGAAATAAGTTTCCACGGTATGCTAAGGCTTGCAAGAGTACGAATACTTTGTTGACGGACTGTATATCTATATGAAAGATATAAAACGTTCTTAAATTATTCCTTGGTTGGTTTTTGTGTATAGACAATTCTGAAATTTAGTTCGTTTAATAGTACAGTGTATCTTTCAGGGGCCATCTACTTATGAGATTCTATGTATAAGAGTCCCCGGGAATTCGTATTTTACTCGATGATCGATGAGCTATGCGTGATTTCTTGATATCCGACGTGCTTTATGATAAGAAAAATTCGTTGCTATTTTCATCAAGGGAGTATAGTCGTCGTACGAATTTTCGAGATTTTAATTCATATCCACGCATTCGTAATACGTATGTAATTTATTTAATTCAAAAATACCGATAGTGATTATATTTGGTTGCGAAGATGCACTCGGTCATTTGACTGGGAACTTTTGGACTCGACAGAAATCAGTCACGTTCACAGATTAGAGTTATCACTGAAACGTGTCGGATAGGTGACGTACAGAATAGCCGCGATCGCGAATTCTGATCACGCGGCGACCATGTGACCGACATATAATGAGGTTGTACATTTTTTCCGTAACTGATTAAAGTTCGGCAGTCAATGAGAAATGAGAATTTAGCGACGGTCTTATTATTGTGCTTTAGGAAAAAAGAATGGTGGTCTTTGTGGAGGCCTCAGTCCTGGAGGATTCGGCCCTGGCACGAGATCCTAGGTTTCAGGGGGTACGGGACAGATTACAGACTTTCAGGGACGGTACCGATGATCTTCAGGTAATACTTGAAAAAATTAATAAAAAAAAAAAAAAAAATAAATAAAAGCAATCGATACAAGATATTCGTTTGTGGTATGCTGATTGGTTATATTTTTTTTCGTGTAAGAATTTTTTAAAATTTGTTTCCTTTTTTTCGCTGTTTTCACTGTTTTCTTTTATTCAGGATCGTATAGACTTCATCGTGTGCCTGGGTGGAGACGGTACCCTCCTCTATGCCAGTCTGCTGTTCCAGCAGTCTGTACCCCCGGTCATGGCCTTTCATTTGGGGTCACTAGGCTTCCTCACACCTTTTGAATTCGACAACTTTCAGGAACAAGTGACCAACGTTTTAGAAGGTGAGTCGTCATTCTCGTCGTATAAAAATTGATCTGCGCAGAGTACTCATTTTTTATAAATTTTTCCTGAAGCACTTATTTATATTTCTTGAAACATCAGTAGCATAAATCAAAGAAAACAATTTCTAGGTAGAACTAGAAGTTTACCGATAAAATTTCATAATATACAATATATTAAAATCCCACTCATTCCCGTTCCCTTCTACATCCTTAGGTTGGAAACCTGCAAAAAATCCAATACCACCAACCTTACCATCTTTGTTATCTTGTTGTACAAGTAAGACCGCAAAACATTCATTTGATAGAGAAACAAAGTTGACCAAGATTGATATGGAAACAATGTCAAAGGTCGTGCATGCCTCAGTCATGAATGACGAAGAGGAAGAGCATCAGCAGATCATCCTTGCCGCGACGATAGCACGTAGTATGTTTATTACTCAGTCGGGTTATCGGTTTTTTAAAATTATTTTTCTATTCGATTCTGTATCATTTTTATATCACTCTATAGCGATCAGCCTAATCGACCAAGTCGCGCTATTGTAAATATTAACATTCGCGACGGAGGAATTAACGCTAGCGCGTCTATGTTGCTAAACGAAAATGTCTATTATTTTCATTATTAGTCCTGACTAACGACTTTACAGTCAATTGCGTAAGCCGACTTTCAGTTCAGACGCTGCTTTTTTTTCTTTTCTTTAATATAATTGTATTTTCATTTGTAGCTTATAACCGACTAAAATTAATATCTGGGAGATCAACGACAAAAACTTTGAGATGAATTGGAAATTCGTTGCGGAAATAATAACCTTGTCCTGCTTTTGATCTCATAGCGAGTTCCTCTATCTTTTGTCCCGTTTAGAAGAAGATGACGTGCACGTGCTATTGAGATGCATTTGGAGCTTAGAGACATTATTTTTTAATAGAAAAGAAACTGTTACGTGCGCAATAATTTTTTTAATGTGAATCTACGTACATGGGATTTTGATTAGGAAATTGTTACGTTGGACCAGGTACAGATTATATACGTATTAAGGTCCGTATAAAGTGACGTATCATAATATAGGTACATTAAAAAAAAAAAAAAAAAGAAAAACACGAATGCTCGGTGAAAAGTACTGAGACGAGCAATAATTTAGAATTCAATAAATATTACCGACATAAAATATTCAAATTTCCTATATTGATATTCTGCCAAGAAGCATAAACAGCATGACTTTCATGGCTAAAGATATTTTTGTCATATCAATACACAAAAGGTTATCAATCGAAACGAAATAATATCATGGTATTCTTATAATGTGGAAGTACTGAAATTTTGAATCGGCGATCGTCATACCGATTATACGATGGAAAAAAAAGATGAAGTGCTACGCACAAAGGGAGAGTTAATAAAATTCTTCATGTTTTGTTCTATTTTCAGGACACGCAGCTTTGACTCTGCGCAGCAGGTTGCGTTGCATAATAATGCGAAAAGGCGAAGAAGGCCAACCAACCAAACCTCCGACAAATTTGCTCGTCCTGAACGAAGTCGTAGTTGATCGAGGTCCGTCCCCGTATCTCTCGAACATCGACCTTTTCATCGACGGCAAGCACGTAACCAGTGTCCAGGGTGACGGTTTGATAGTCAGCACGCCAACGGGTTCCACGGCTTACGCCGTAGCAGCTGGTGCAAGCATGATTCATCCGTCGGTACCGGCCATTATGATTACACCGATTTGTCCACATTCGTTATCCTTCAGACCCATCGTTGTACCTGCTGGAGTTGAGCTCAAGGTACGTTGACTTTATGCACGATCTATTATATCAAATTACCTGAATGCGTATCTCGGAAAAATCTTACACTTGCGCAAAAGTCTTAATTGGCAATTTATTCTTGTAGATATATGATTGCAACAATTTAATTAATAATCAATGTACTTAGCCAACTGACGTTAGCATGTTTCTTGGTTATTTGTCACGTTGTTGTATGACCTTTTGACTTGTCCAACAAAGGTTGCAATTTCGTGTATGAATAAGATAAAATGAAATTGGCATAGATTCTCGAAAAGATTTTGATGAATATCTTCAACTTACGTTTGTTAGATTTCCGTGTCTCCGGACAGCAGGAACACTTCTTGGGTCTCGTTTGACGGTAGAAATCGTCAGGAACTCTTTCACGGGGACAGGTAATGAAAACACTAAGTATACATTCTAATTGGATATTCGTATTTTCAGATAATGGCGAACAGCAAGGCTCGCAGCACAGCCTACGTCTCCTTCGATGGTCGAAATCAGCAAGAACTGCGCGTTGGGGACAGGTTTGTCCCATGTTTTTTGACTCTGCTATTCACTGTGCATCCTCCATGTACTGTTTGACATATTCATTTCTTAACGATGAATCCATCCAAGATGGATCTTTCCATTAGTCGGCGAATATTCGCTTTTACTAACACTGAATGAGACGTGGGCTGTGGACCGCTGTTCGGGTGATGGAATTCTTCCAGTCATCATTCAATGTATCATCATTCTCTCTTGTCTACTTTATTGCGTATCAGCCGCTTTAAAGCGTTATTCTATGTTCTACATATCATTGTACATCAAGTATTTCTTCGAATCATTGTATGTACACCGTAGCTACAAAGTACACTTGATAATAGTCGTTCGATTAGTTTCTCTTATCAGTTTCACTGATACAGTTACTGGCAATTGGTTAATTAAATTTGACGTGCTGTCCTATAAAAGTATTTGCTATTTATCTCAAGTATAGTTACGTATGTGTTTGATCATAAACCATAAAACAGGTCGTTGTCTTGATATTTATGAGAATGCTTATGCTTTATCTTTATTCTATTTTCAGTTTAAGAGTGACAACCTCAATATATCCAGTGCCGAGTATTTGCGCTGCTGATCAGATAACGGATTGGTTTGATTCTCTGGCGGAATGTCTACATTGGAATGTACGAAAACGTCAGAAGCATCTGGATGAGCTGAGCGACCTGACGCACTCGTCGAGCAATGACACTCTGGACTCTCTGGATCGCGATAGTTAAGGACCAAATTCGCCATTTTATATCACGAATAGCAGAATCCGATGCGCTGAGAATTTTGCGCTAAGTCAGTTGAACCTCGCGACTGCGTCTTTCTATATTGTATTTCTATAGTATTACAACGACACGGGAAGAAGAAAAACAAAAAAAGCGTAAGAAGCGATATGGAAATATTGTATTTTTACAGACAATGGCGCAATGATCGTATCATTTTGTCGTTCAAGTGCTTAATATTGCGAGGTGGTGTTCATTGCGGACCAACATTTTTTAAGATCGCGCAAAATGTTGTTCATCGCGTTCTTATGAGTTCCAAAATAATTGGAGTTATATTTTTAAGAAAAATTGTTGGCATTGTATTCGTATCCTTTGTTTTGGTATAATAGTATTTCCAAGATCTGGATATAAAAATAAAAGATACGAGTACAGAACTTTCGTTATTGCATTTTTATTATAAGCTTCCTTATTGTATGTATTGAATCGATTTATCAATAATTTAATTTAATTCGAAGCTCTATCCGATTGACATTTGGCAAAGGATACATTTCGTTCATTCTTTATTTTTCTCTATGTCCTTAATTCATATAGAAGGATATTCTAGTGGGTCGATTTTTGTTTTTGGAAATCGACTCGTTTCCATCACAATGTGACAAAATGTCACAAATCTATACACGAGGCGTTGCGTGTGACAAGTAAAATAAATCTCAATTTATCATAGATCAGAATTGATTATTTTTAACGATGACTACATCTAGAACAATTTGTTATAAATGTGAATCAACTTTCCTATTAACGATTCTTTTTAATAAAATAATTTTTGTACAGAAGTTATCTATAGTTGCAGTGAATTTATTTTATAGGAATTATTTACTGTTAACAGATTTTTTAAAGTAAACTTTGCCGTAATGCATACTCCTTTTTTTAGGATCAATTACACATTCAGAGAACTCGTGTATTGCGAATTTCAAATATTACCCTTTAAAATAGAATTTGTGTTGAATTATTTTCGTTTGAAAATCAATACGTTTTGCACATTATCTTTATGTGCTCGTATGCTTTTATTGATATGTTCATTTCTTTAATTTAAAGGAGCACTCAACTATCAGCTAACGAGCTGCCTGCTTAATTTAATCAACCTAGCTAATTAAAACTGGATCCCTATGCTGTTTGTGTTTAGAATATAGCACGACCAGTTATTCCTGTACAGCGAATGAAATAAAATTATAAGAAAAGGGAAATAAATTGTATAGTAAGACTTTACAATATATGTATATACCATTGCTCAGCAACGGTTTAGTGTTAAATTCTTACAAAAATAAATAATACAAGGAGAAATGTGTAAAGGTCTGTGTCCACGGTCTGAGAACACGGAGGTACCTCATCGGTCTTAAAAAGTTATGGATATTCATATAGCATTTTAGATGGCAGGTTTTTTTTGATAACAAGTATACAGTATAGTCCCATGCAACTGTAACTCTGTACCCCATCAAATTTCATGACTGTATAGAAAAATTTGGCAATCTAAAACTTACCATGCTACACCTTACACTCGACAAAATAAATTCAGCTAAATTACATTGTTGTTAATATTGATTATCTAAAAGAAAAGTATAAATTCTTGAATTATTTTTGATTATAATATAATTAAAACGAACGGATGTGTTCAACTGTTTACGTATCGCTGTCATAACTGCAATGCGCCTTGTTGCAAGTAGAATATTATATAAACTGGAAAGAAATAGAAATGCAGGCCGAAAGAAAAAAAAATAGTAAATAAATATTTACTTCGCTCAGAGAAATATAAGATTGTGACAGTAAACCTATTTTGAACGTCGAGAAGATGAATAAGAAGAAATGAGGAACGCATGAAAACCAGAAAGAAATTGTAAAACAGAAAAACAAGAGTTAGAGAATAGAATAGTATATAGTTATAAAATCAGTTATAAATAGTTGTTATATTATATAGTTATATTATAAATATTGTTAACTTATAGTTAGAAACAGAATAGGAGAGATGAAAGAATGAGTAGGCCGATGGAATGAATAAGAAAGATTTAAAAGATGGAAACAAATGAAAAAAGGCATATGTGGAAAAAAGGAAGAGTCGAAAGAGATGGTATGAAACAAGAAAAATTGACGAGTTAAATGAGAGGGAGGAAGGATGAGGAATGAAAGAAAGGTAATCAAAAGGAAGCAGGATAGGAAATTAAGGAAAACTGAGTGAAATAGGATATTTTCGTGAGGTCCTACCTCTCCACGAAGAAGTCACGACCCCTCCGAGACTCGACTGAGAAGACCGTGATTTAGGGATTGAGGAAAAATCTCCCCGAGTCCTGAGATTACCACACTCAGGACTAGAGGGGAAAAACCTCGGAATGAAAGGAGGCTGGGCTGAGCGACAAGAAAGACGCAAAGCTAAGTTAAACGCGAAAGATCTACCTGTAGTCAAGGATTCACCGCAACGAAAGACGATGGGTGTAGCACCTAACGGCGTCCGTTCGAGCATCGCTAGGACATCCCGAAGGACGATGTTTAATGCCACAACATATGGCACTTCCCACTGAACAAGCTCAGTGAGTTAGACGCAAGAGACCGCGTCCGCTCCCGGGAGCGGACCCCGTCAAACATTGATTCCCACGCAAAATGTCTCCGACAGAGGGTGACTCTAGACTAGCAGGTGATCAATAGCACCTGCACCTACTTCAAGTGAAGCCGACCCAAGGCACAAGCACAAGCAGGACTTTATCCAGAGCCAACCGACTACCTCGCACGATCTCTCCCCACTGTCACATAGGATCGTCTTTACTCATATGACTGTTGGAGGGTCAACGGCACGTTGGAGCGTTTTTAGCAAAGCGAACAAATTACACTGAAGACGCAAAAGATAGACACCCCAGCTAGATTTCACTATACGAAAGACCATGGCCGTGGCGTACCCTAAGCGGGCTCAAAGACCCCTTCGAGAGACCCAGGTCCTCTTACGGCCACAACTTGGGCATCGACCCACTGAGCAAGCTGAGCGGATGAGGCGGAAGAGCAACCCCCGAAACCATGGTCTAGACGTGTAGCTACTCTAACGGGGTGACTACCCTTATATAACTACTAGAATGAATATGTTCAGCCCGACCAAAGAAATAGAAAAAGTAAAACAAGCGCAATGAAAAAGTGAGGTGAAATAGAACGAAAGTTGAAAGCAGAAAAAATGTAGACGGAAAGAAATAAAGAAAGTAAAAAAATAATAGATTATAGTAAGTTAGAAGTGAAGAAGAAATAAGGATAGAAAGAAAAAAAGAAATAAGAAAGTAAAGGAGTATGAAGTTAGGAAAGTAACGACTAGAAGTATAAAAGTAAAGAAAAAAAGGCGATGAAATAATTATAGGGAAAAAAAAAGGATAGAAATTGATAAAATAGAAGCATCCAAGAGACCAGTATAGGAGACCGGCTCGTGGAATAATTAGTGCTCCGAGCTCGGGTATCCCTTCTAGTGCTTCCCCCGCTGCCTGCGTCCTGCACGACAAAAGTCTGCGCTTTGATAAATTTAACAATTTCCAGTGCTTTTAACTGTTCCTCGCCATGCTTTCTAATATTTTTCTCATTTTCAATATATCTTTTGTTGTTAAGGGGACTCTGGACTTCTTATTTACCATGCGAGTAAAATATCAACGAAAATCATAAATAAGATTTTTACAGAGGTTATTTTTCAAATGAGAGTTTACCGCATATTCTGCGAGATTAACAATCATTTTAACATCACTTTCGCAATAATTGTCTCAAAAGTGGAAAAGTAATCTAACCCGAAATGTTTCGCATTTTTCAAACTCATAAGAAAATGTCTGGAACGCAACTTGTCTTCCTCTTGCTTATGGCAGCAGAACGGGCCAGTAGCTAGTTAATAGTATATAGGTCTCCGCTGTACCGACAGCAGCCACAAGCAGCAACGGAGACGTAAGCGGCGTTAGAACAGCAGCCAATTCTGAAAAATAATCTTCTGGCTAATAACAGCAACCTCCCAAACATCGGACCACTTGCTATATATGAACTTCCATCTCCTCTGAAAATTAGTTCACGTTTGCAAATATTTCAAAGACAGTGGCGCCATCCATCCATACTGATTGCAACTATGTAAACCAACTTCAGTCGAGGCCATATGAAAATTCTTTAAACTACATTTGAAAGTGATGTATTATAAAAAAAAACGGCAATATAAAAATAATCGATTTCTAACTTGTAAATTCAGTCAAACTAACGTATAACATGCGCGAAGAAACTATTAAAGTTTCAAACAATACCGACGTCAATCAACAGATTGCGCTGAGGCATTAAATTTCTGTATACTAATATACGTGTCATCATTTATAAAGAGTAATATGTACTAAAATTGAAAATAATTTGTATGAAAAGAGAAATATAGATATATCATTAATACATTACCAGTTTAACGTAACACTTTAACGTAAGTACTAAACACCTTTTAATTATGACATACCTATTCACGTTCCAGCTTAAAATATCGGATAAAAATAGCATATTATAAATTCGAAACCAAATACTTTGTGAAAACACAAATTTTATATTCCCATACTATCTTGCTTTATTATACATTTAGGTAGGGATACCTAGTTCGTTAATATAACCAGTTGCAGATAATAACTTTTTCAATGTTCAGATAATATACTACCACAATGCATAATAACCCTAGCAAACACATTATTACATATAAAGTGCATGTTAATTGTAATTACCCATTCATTCCCATAACACCAATATGACAGACCTGTTATATTGGAATTATGTATTTCAGTGTGAAATCCCAACTAACATCCACGTTACATGCACTCACTCACTATTACTCATTTCAATCTTTATTTCAAATCTTATCACCGCAAAATTATAGATAACATTTGGTTCGTTAAATCATAGAATCGACTGTTTACATATCCCAGTGGCTTTCCTTCTGCGGTTTGGAGATCGCAACTGGCGATACGACGTTAGCCAACGCTAACAGATATATTAATATTCCACGATAGCCATGCGGATCTTGCTTGTGTGATAAGTAAACCTTACTATTTGTCCACTAGCTGATAAGCGATATCTATTTCGTTACATGTTGATCTTCAACAGATGACGATCCTCTTGAAAATAATAATCAAATGACGGATCATTGAGAATGTGAAAAAAAAATATTGACAGATACAGAAGACGTAAGGGATGCAAAAGTAGATCAACAATATTCTACTATTCATGTATGGCTCCAAGAATGGACTTTTTTTACATAAAAATTTATACAGGGGAAAAACTGCCATGCACAGAAAGGAAGTAACGGTCGCGTAAAGAAATGAAAACGAATAAGATCAATATAATATTATACAGTAGTAATCTAGTTTGCGGTGAGATAGAAATGCGATCGATCGTACGTTCGATTGGGTGCATGTGCAGTATGCGGTATACATATGCATGTGCATGTACCTGTTTCACGGGGCCGCTTACCGACGTGTATCAAGGCCAGTCACTCGATTATTCGCATTACTTATGCACTCTACATAACGCGCAGCCATGCACTGCACGCGCCTCTTTGGCAAAGTGCAACCTGCGCTGCCACTTGCTTACTTGCTTACTTACTTACTTACTTGATTATATACTTAGTCGATGGACTTTTTATTAACACGTACTTAGATCAATCGCATTACTTACCTACAAGCTATATGCTTTACCAGAAGGAAATGTCAACTTACTGGTAAAGCATTGCGGATTAACTCAAAATCATTAATAAAAATATAATGATTTCAATGATATTTAGTTAGTCTCGATTAAGGATCTTTATCATTTACCGCCGGCCGCATAACAGGTCATTATAATAATTCACTTACCATACGGAATTTAATTAACCTCGCGGAAGATGACGATTACGAGAAAAGTGAAATTTATTCTGAAAAATTGCTATCGGTAAAAATGAATAAAAATGAAAATGAATAATCATTTTTCATTGTGATAAACGTAAGTTAGAAAAATTAATATCGTTATGCGGGGCTTATGTTTACTTTGAAATTGCCCAATTTTCTGGATCAATGACATCTTCAATTATTTAGTACATTCAATTATTTAGTATGTGAGCTTCCGACGATAACCTAGAGTGGGGGACTCCAGTATACATATACATATACATATATTGTAACGAAATTCTTTAACTTATGACCCAACACCGATAGCAAAACATACGAGAACGACTATCTTCGAGAACCAACCTA